TTCAGGGCATTTGGTCGTGCCAAAATCGCTAGGTGGTGATAAAGTCGTCCAGTCATTGGTATCTTATCCGAAGCCTTGGTATACCAGAATCTTGATACACCAGTCCAAATTTCTCGATCTCGGATATCATCATCTTCAACTGCCATCCTGTAACGCCCTAAATCACCAAGACACTCTATCCACGTATCTTCAAACGTGGGAACTGTCTCATATAGCAATGCCATCATGGTATACGCGATATAAATGAAGGTGAGCATATGCTCGAGCGAGCCAGGCAGTTTCCGCCTTAGAAGCTCTAAAAACGAGTGTATACCATGACGCCACATTCGTGCAGGCATAAAATACTTAGATGCAAGTCTTCGGAGCGCGGCGCTCGCCGATGGGTGCTGGGATGCCAATAGAAAGTCATGATGCTCATGGAGAAGTGACCAGTGAAGGGAGATTAATGAGTGATATTGCCCTTGGCTTAGATCAGTCTCCTTCTGTGTGCTGTCATACTCAATGCATTTGCTCTCGAGTAAAGCCAGTCCGGCGTAAATACCTTGGACTTCCGCGGCAAGCTGGTCTGAAGTTATGACTCGAGTATGCGGTTGCAGAAGCATTCCTGATCCCGATGCCGCATCAAAAGACTGGCCTCTGTGCTGACGAGATCCGCCAGGTCTCGCCGGATTTTTATTGTAGACGAAGTCCTCATCTCTGTCAACTGGTCCAACGCGACGCCTGACCAGAGTCGACGGTGATAAGCTGCGTTGCTGAGCAGTTGAAGCGACGGATGAATACGGCCTACTAGTCAATGCTGTTAACACCACAGTTCAACATCCTTTTTAAGATCTCGGACTACCATTTCCGAGTAATGGGCCAACTCACTGTGACTCGGTGATATCGTCGCAACGGCGCGGGAAGCGCTCAAAGCCGCCTTCATAGCAGCTAGAGGTGGGTTCCACAGGACGAGTACCTTCTCCGAGTTGCTCATTGGTCACCAATGACTGTGACAGTGGTTTCGTATCCCATGGAGCCGAGTCCATAGTCTAAGGGGTATACGTGTTGCGGTTAGGGGTGGGTATGATTCCAAGATACTCTCGTGTGACGCTTGTGAATCTCGGGTTTATCGCACAACAGGACTACACCTGATACGCTCTCCAGGGTGAGTTGTTGTGTTAAGGATGTCTTCAAGAGTAAGAATGGGACGAGACACTGAGAGGGCTCCAGGTTCGAACAAATGTGGCTCCTAAGGGCAGTTCTTATGCCGCACAATCGAGCCTCTGATGAAAGTGGTTCGCACCGAGCAATGGCAGCCTTTTGGTCGCCTTGCGGATATCTTAGCCAGTAGAAGAAGTGATTTGAGAGCCGTATCGTGGGATTGCATGGGTTGGGTTGTCTCGCAGTGACAGGGAGAGCAGATGTTGCTGTGATAACGCACACCAGGACGACGCAACGAATAACAGGGCAAAGCCCTCCGGTGGGGATACGAGCTGCCTGACTCCCTGAGACTGTTTGCTAGCCTCGGGAGCATGGTAATTGTGACTTGTCCTTTGCATGGTTGTGCTCTTCGGTGTGGTTAGTTCAACCGAAGGCTGGCAAGCATCACTCATACATGCAACCTAACCTGGTCCCGGCCAGTGAAGTGCAATTCAACAGTCTCAGGCTTCTACACCGCGGATGTTGTGCCGTCCATCCGTCTTTATTCCCAACTGCAGTTGATGTCCCGTGCTTTTGCAGCTGGATCCAGACCACTCCCTCAACGCAATGGCGGTTAATCTCTTGCAGCGTCGATCCTTCCGAACGGCAACTTTGCTCTTGGTTTCGGTAAGCATGCTACATCATGGGAGCTCATACTCCCTGCCATGGTATTGCTTCTTGCTATGCAGGGCGAAACATGAGTGCGTGAAAACGATGGTGTCAACACGAAAGCTCTTCTCGTCCACCGCTGGCCAAATGTACTGGAGAACGGCCAACCACAAGGCCTACCGAACCCTCTTATAGCAAAATAGCTTCAGTAGCAAGAGAGGCTCAAAGTCCATCCGAGTCCAACTGGGAAAATCTGTATATTATACTGCAACCATATCATAATGTAAGGACCTGCCTCTTCGACCATCAAGGCGAAGTGAGCCCCTGACACGGCGGCATGCTTCAACAACCAATATGTTATAATAAGAAAATGATCATGACTTTATAGCAGAGAAGCATTTTATTTCTCCTGATCTTTGATGGAACCACTCCGAGCCACTAGACCACTCCAAGATGATCAATGATATACTCGGCAGTAATATCGGAATCTTTGAGTTTGGTTATAGACGCTTTGCTGTTCTTCTCCTTTTTGATAGTGGGACATGCTCTGGAGCTTTGTCGGGCGGTGATTCGTATCTGTCGTAGATTCTCTTTAGTTTCCCATTGCTGCATTCGCTACTTCCTTCACTGCCGTCAACATGACCGTCTTCACCAAACTTTTGCCCGATAGCACCGTATTTTTTACTTGCAGGACTGTCAAGCCTCATGGTGATGATACCGTACTTGCTCGATGACCCCTCTGCCGTATTAGCAAACCTGGCGTGACCCCCATCCGGGAGACAATCAGTTGCTAAAAGGCTATTGGAATATACGATGCTTCCGTCGTTGGCATTGTTGTTATTGTCATTGACGTCATCCTCGGCTGCATCTGCACGGGAAGCATTATCAGAGGACTGGTCGCCTTCGTTGATATCTTCTTCAACAACTCTTGGACTGTTCGGAACGGTAACCTCATCACTATTGCCGTCACTCTCAGAAGATATTTCGATTATTTCATGAGGCAAGTAAAAGGACTTGCAAGAAGTAGGGTCCAAATTGCGACTTTGGGCATCGACCTTGCGTTGACAAACACCCTCGTAAGGGTTTTTTTCGGGTGTGTTCGGCGGGGCTGTCAGGCTGGTCTCGGTTTCCATTTCGATGCTTGTAGAAGTGCCTGCTTGTTTATGAACACCAGCTCATGAAAGTGGTCGTAGCTGGTATGAAGATATCACCTCGTTTCATGGAGGTGAAATGTTGAGGTTGAGGTATTTATAGGCCATTATAAGAAAGTCTTCAACTTTTAAAATGTCACCATTGAATGCTCAAGGCGGTTGGAGCAAACCATCCTAGGATTTGGATTGCGCTGCTCCTGAATGCACCGGATGTGAAAGGGGCCGGACCCATATCGTACGATTGAATGTTCACTAAGCTAACTTGGAATTGCACCACAGGCAACAATGTAAGCCGCAGATCCTAGAGATATAGTCTAGCCGAAACTAGATTGCAGAGACCGGGGGTGAAGAGTGAGAAGACATGGCAACGTATCAAATTGAATGGGAGGTTTTGTAATAGCTTAGGACAAAGCGCGTTCGCGGAGACCTCAAGGCTGTCAAAATTTCTGGGATGATATTTTCCTCGTTGACAGCCCCCAAAGGTAACATTATGTTTGAGTTACCTTCTGTTACCTCAACATTCCCCATACGGCGGTTGATCTCCCCTTGAGATAAGAAAACTATGTGGGAAATTCTCTGCAGATCACCTGAAGAGTAGGCATTCAGGTTCATGAGCAATATTCTAGTAGGACCTGTGTTTTATACTACAGCCGTATCATCACTTGAGACACATGCCTCTTTGAGGATGAGCATCTGAAATGGTGCCCTTTTCTTCAGCCACCAAGATTGTGGAAAATTCTGAAATAATTGCCGTTTCATTTTCCACTGAATATCAGTCGCGCATTTGACCATGGACAAACTTCCATAGAATTTGGCCTGACTTTTAAGCGACCATTCCGAGTCACTAGACCGCTCTGCAATGACCAATAGCTTGATATCTGTCAGCGACACACCAAGTTTTCCTATAACCCCTCCTTTTTTCGGCCTCCAGACGAAGTGTAACTTAATATTATATAGCATTGGTATTGCGAGTTTGACACGCTGCTTTTGCCGTTCCGATTGTGTGGTTGGTCGAGGTAGCTGACATTGCCCCGATTGTCGGAATGTTCGCCATATTTGACTCAATAAAGTAATAATTGTCCACAAAAACACTAAAGTATGAAGATGTCGCCAAGTAAGGCCGAAGACTTCGTGGAATGGTTCGTATATGCTAGCGGCAACATTGAATGCGTATTGACTTTGTAGGGGCTCATTTCGTATGACCATTACTGCCCCCTGTTCTTGACTCGAGTATTGCTTTATTGTTTCTGTATATATTAACATTAAAAATTCTGCAAACTCTTCGGCTTGTCGTTTTGCTCTGGGGGACCATACTGACAGCGTCTTGCAAGCAAAGATGGGAGTTGATAGGCATTGTATACAGTATGTAGTTTCACCTTTATGGCTTTGGCGTAGCAACAAAAGCTAATGACTCGTTAACTTTCCTCAAAAGGTAGTAGCCACACATGCAGTCATAAAGCTCAAACGTGGGTGCAGTTTGCCCCTGCGCATTACCTTCCGCGATTGTTGGTTCGTGACTTTAGGTCAGATGGTGATAATGCTGAGGGGTCAAGTTATGGGGGGAGACTGCGACGGCAAACGAGTCTTTTTATAGCATCGCTTAGTTTAATTTCTACCCCTCATCATCATGCATGTATCCCGTCGATCTGTGTCTTCTTTACTGTCGAAACTTTACGTGTTCTTAGAGTCATAAGGGTTGCTGTTCGATTTTGGTGATCCTTGACAATCCAATGTACTTGACAGGAAAAGGTATGAGAGCCATATCATACTGTCTAATTGTCCCCAAGCTACTCTAGAATCGTTTTACAGGCCCAAATATGACATAAAACCGGAACTGTTCCCTGGATGTGCTTTCTGTAGCGCTTTTGTGATTGTATATGCGGCTTCGGTCTTAAAGTTTGTTCTCAACTTGAATCGTCATCAATTCGCTTGTGCCATGCTCGATGATGTGCCTGAGAAGTCTTGTAAATCACTTTGTGGTTATACACGTGTTGGCGAAGAAAGCTCTGGATAATTGCAATTTTTTCATTAGAATTTTCTTCCCATTCATTCCTACTATCTTCACATCCCATTCTGAGGATGAACCTTAATCTCCTTAAGGCTGGCAGCCAAGGAGTGAGACTTGTACTCAGAGTACAACTTTCGAAGCCTCTTTTTAGAGCAACCGCGAAAGGTGTCTTGAATGTCGGTCCAGTAGTGCCCTTGATTCCTTAAGTCAACAAGCCGCTTGATATCTATGTCCACGGGCCTGCTATTTATTACACTGCCAGGACGCAATTGCTTGTACCGCCTCGACACCGCGACTGGCCTGTGGTGTAATTGTTGGGCAATGACTCCAAATTCCAAACACTCTTCTTCCCTTAGTCGAATAAGAGTCCGATCTTCGTCGTCAGTGAACAAGAATTTAGATTCTCTCAGTACCCTTACCTGGCTTTTCAACGAACGTAAAGTGTGACCGGGAAAGCGGTCTTGTAATACCTGCCAAGTGGTACCCTTCTCGTAAAGATCAAGAAGAGCATCTCTATCCTCCTCCGTGTACTTGGTACGTTTGGGATGTGGGGCAGAATCTCGCACGCCAGGCTTGCGAGGATCCGTTGTGGATTTGCGGAAATCTGTGCAGCAAACCTCACTAGTGTAGGGTGACGAGCATGGCGTCTCCACCGTGAACCGATATGACGGCATACTAGCCCTATGGTCATGAAGTGGTAAGGCCCCACGGATTCCCAGGATGCGTTGTAATCGGGTGTCGACGGCGATTATCTGGTCATCGGTGAGGCATTTTAAAGACCAGATAAGGGCTAACGGTTGTAACCCTACCAATGGCTTCTCTTTCCTGAGGTCCCTATTATCTTCTATCCACTTGTTGATGGCGCATCCGCTCGAATCCCGGTCAGGCTGTAATTGAACGTCGAGTTCTGCAAACGACGACTGCGCTTCTCCGGCCCAGCAGAGTTGCTGTTCGTTGACCTTGGCGCTGTGAAGAATAATTTCCGCCAGAGCAGAACAGGCGCCATCATACTCTTCAGAGGTTTGATAATTGGGGACCTTGTAAGTCCAGGTCGCGCATCTCATAATGATTGAGTTCAGGAGGATTCGTGCACATGTCAGCATATTCAGAAGCATCAGCAGCCAGGGGTCCGTATTGTTAGAGCTAATGCCCTGTGTACTCTTTGACAACTCGTCCCACCTGGCTTTGCAAGTTCGATCATGAGCTTGACACCGCTTAAGCATGACTTCGACTTCGACTTCATCTTCATGTCCGGACGGACCAAGAAGGGCCGTAGCCTTCGCGCTAAGCGAAGCCACTCCAACGCAAAGCTTTTGGGTCGAAGTGCATTCATCGTCTCCGGACCACCAGAGCTCTTTCTCCTTTTTGTCTTCTAGTGTTGCGAGACTATATATTACCTGTTGCAAGTTAGCTATTAGAGAGTCTACATCACGATGTAAACTTGAAGATCAACCCGATAAAACCGTGGACTTGAGAAGTTTATGGAAATCTTACCATTAAAGTGCGGGTTGCCCTGAATAGCATTTGTCCAATTCGGGTGTCAATCTGTTTGCGACCGCGTCCTCGGGCCAACTCAATAGCACCCTGTACGTGATTGCGCCAGCTTTCTTGCTCCCCAGTCGTAGGATTTAAGCATTCGAACAGCGCTAGAAGTAAAACTGCAGCCAAGGTTGCATCCTCACAAACGACATCTGGATCTTGAAGGGCGCTATGCATCGCCGTCAGCGCTTTATTGTATGTCTCAATAGTCAAGCTTTTGTATTCAAGCTGACCGCCCGTCTCATTGATGAACGACGCCATAGCGCAAGCTTCAAATGCCAGTCGGTAATGCTCCCATTCCTTGTCGCTGTTCGGTAGGATAACAAAACCCATACCGCCAATTTTGTTCTGGCTAGGCGATTCAAGATCATAATGATACAAAAAGTAAGCGATTGCCCTTTCCTGCAGAGGCATCTGGGGAAGGTCCGGGGAGCGCAGCTGCAAGGATCCTGCCTTCGGTGTCGAATATGAGGCAACTTTCTCATCCTGTGATATAGCATTCAGGGGTTCATCCTTTGCGAATTTTCTGCCGGAAGATTCCGAATATCCGTATCGAGTAACAGTCCTTTCTTCGGGTGCGGTACATTTTCTCCCAGACTTGATGCACTGCTGACAGGGCCTCGAATTTTCACACTACATAGACTTCTTGTTAGACCTTCGGTTATTACGAGGTTAGTTGATCTCCAAGCAGTGCATTTACCTTGACTCGGAACTTTCTGCAACCCGTACAGGCCTTCGAAACTCTGCGAGATGACGCAAGCGCCTTATCTGGTGATGAAATGACGTCCTGTGTTGTGGTTGGCTTGGGCGAGGTCACTATTGTGGTTTTCTGCCCTTTCTTTCTTGCGTACTCCACGCCAGTCTTGTGGCAAAATGCGATATCGGTTTTAGGTCTGGTACAGAGCCTGCGAGCCTTCGCCCCTTCACACTACATATATTCCATGTTAGACTTTCAGCTGTTGTAAGGTTTAGTCAATCCCCCGACTGTGAATAATGGATATACTTTGATTCTGCGCTTTCTGCCAGCGGAGACCATGGTAGTAACGAATGCGGACCCTGCAGGTCTTAAATGTTGATTTGGTGGTGTTTTAATGTAATATGACCAGGCTATGGGATTCCCCATGGACACTGGTATGAGCTCTTCCTGAATAAAATCTGAAGATCTGAGTTAGAACCGCCATGGAAGGAAGGACTGTCATACTTATACATCCTACGGAACAATGGATCAGCCTCCACGTGAATAATGTACGGTGTCCAAAGTGTGTTGACAAACAACACGAACCCCTGAGCTAGGGAAATGAGGCTGCCAAAACTGTATTCCCCGGTTCAGGGGGGCGTCCCTGGTGCAACAACAAGATATCTTCCCTACCGAGGACTAGCCGGTATCCAGAAGGGTTGCACCTACGGAGAGAGCGGCATGGTGGTGTAGAACATTCAGAGGTACTTTCCAGCGCCGAAGTTTGCGGGCTTATTAGTGTATTCCAGGTTCTTAGAGAAGCGTTTAAAGTGGTCAGTGAAGCTTTCAAAGGTCCATACAATACACTAGAAAGAGATATCCAAGTACAATTGAAATGAGTGGTCTATGATTTTATGTCAACGAACGTCGGTTTTTATTCTGTCAATACAGAGTGGTCCAAGCTTCCATGAGGCAATAGCATACGAGCAGTAGTTATATCAATATGCTTGTCAGGCAGGAGCATCACCCTCTGTCAGACAATTGAGGTCACAAAAGTTCGAGTATAATGGTGCTGAAGGCGCCAATTTTATTAAATGACAATTATCTAAGGAACAAGAATTCCATCAGGCGTTTCAGGGGAACCGTGCAGATCTTTATACACCAAATAAATCTTTGATACTTCAGGCAGGAGCAGTTACCTGCCAGGCAGCTACTGCAGTGTCCCAGTTTTTCAGGAGGCAAGATTTGGGTAGGCCTGATATGCGACACCCTCTTCTAAACATCTTTTGGTACCAGCTCGATCTCAGAATCACTTGACGTATTTTTTGTTTTTGACCTATTCCAAAGTAAAACTCCATCCGTCGTATCTTCACCAGCCATTTGCCGCCTGTTGGTGTCTCTCTCCTCACTCCTGCACTGGCGATATCTCCTAAATCCCGTGATAAGGTTCACAATTCCGATGACTGTGAACATTCCGTTTTGAACCTACCCTGTCAGCGTATGCAGGTTGATGATGGAAGAACATCTCACCAGTTTATATTTTATGCGTGATGCTAAGACATCGTAAAATGAGAGAAAAGAAAGCCCAAAGGTGACGATCTCGAAGCAACTTCGAATGTCCAGAGAAAGCCAAAGCTTCCAGTTCTGGCATTTTGCCCTTTTACCTCGCCTGACTCCTTCGAGGCGCAAAATGAAACATGACAGCATCATAGATCCTCGAAAAGCGGCTACAGCTGACATCGGCAAAAGTCGCGACGACGATCTGAACTGAAAATCTGCCGAGAGCAACCCGATCCCAGTAAGTGATAAGGCTAGTAGAATTCCCTTCATCACGACCCCTTGGGCATTGGTTCTCCCAAAAGCCGTCGCTGTCAGACCAGCCAATGCAATACTCTGGATTAGGTTCAGTATTTTTCCCATTTCCTAGCCAATGTATACTCACCTCTAATAGCATACTCCAGAGCAGCATCACTGATAACTCGCAATCCGCCCAATATTCCACCGAATGCTCTCCTAGTTCACACCATGTCGCCACCATCAAGACAGCACCCACCACTAAACCAGCAATAACGGAAAAATACAACGTACATAAAGTTGTCCAGTACCAGAAACTAGTTTTAGATGAGCGTCCAGATAATAGGCTTTTTAATATTGCTGCTGTGCTAAGAATCGAGAGCTGTAAAATGGAACAGATTGTCAGCCCGATTTGCTGCGTTAAAGACAAGGCTGGAGTTTTGTGTGACTGCATGATATCAAAGGTGGAAGAGAAGTATGAATAAAAAGGCATCCAGCTCCCCGCCATTCCTGCAGCGACAGCCTCATTTTAAGTAGTTGACTCAAAGGTCTTCAACAATCAATTGTCCTCTGATGCCAGGGCCGGATATGAGGCCCATTCCCGTATATTTCCCTGCTCAACCCCTTCTCACCCCTTTCGTTATACCATTTCGGACTCGGTCAACTTCCTGACTTGGGAGAGGTCTCAATAATGCGTGTATCAGCTGGAGGAGATGATGGTGACAAGGGGCCCTTGCGCCGGTATGAAAAGGAGCCGTAATGTGATTGTTGTGGACTACAACAGCAGGAACTTGTCTGTGGCTGTGACACCTCTGGCTCATTTTGCGTGCAATCTCTATTATAAAATTCATAAAATGATTTATCCACGCGTCATCGTTATATTTTCCGGCAATATTGTTCCAGGTCCAATGGCGAAGATCGATCCGTGACGGCTGGAGATCTCTCAATATTTTTTTAACTTCTTGCTCAAAGTTAAATCGGGCCGAGTCCGCATAGTAGCCTTCCGTAGACATCCTGACCGCAGCTTCAACGGCAAAGGAAGTAAGATCGTCGCCGCTTGCCACGAAGGCACGGGCAGCCCAACCCAGAACGAGCGTAGATCCTTTGATTGCCTGATCATTGTGTAGAACATCTGCACAAGCGGAGCATGGTCCGAATTCGAATCTCAATAGGACGTTTTGTGTACAGCTGACTTCTTCGTTGCATCGGCATGCCTCGGTATCATAAATAGTGCAGCAGTGAAGGCAAATACTATGCTCTGTCTGATGCATTGGCGGCATTTTTATTGGTCTTTGAGAGGACTTTGGAGAAAAGAAAAGAATGAAGGAGACTTTGATGGGCAGCAGGTCAGGGTTGGAGGAAACGGGAGAGGCCCCAGACGAAAAGTAAAAGAGATTTTATAGCCAGGTAACACATGGAGAAAAAGCCAACCTCCCCTACGCGACAATATACGTGATGGTCTCACACACAGCTCTGTACAATAGTCTTTGGTAGAGTGCCCAAATTGATGCATAGAGGCGAAAAATTCGTTGAGGATTGTTTCACTTTGGCGATGGGTATCTCTGGGATACGGCCTGGCATCCGTGTACGCCTGCGATTAAAAGTCTACGAGCTGGTGAATTGAAGGTGGCAGTGAATGTATACAGAGATTTTGTTACCATATACTGTTTGCTATACCATGTTCGGTCTCTCCTCCACTGTTTTGGAACTCGAACGAAGAGTCCTGCCATTTGTAACACCAGTAGCAATCGGACAGTCGTCTTCCAACCAGCTCCGCTGCCGGTTAGACTTGCCCTTTGCCTTTGGAGCTATCCATTCCCAATATGTCAGTTGATAATGCGTCTTCGCTGCTACTTGAGTCACAGGAGCTAGCTAGCAAAACCGATGGACCGACCAGGCAGAAGACAACGGCCAGCTTTTGTCGGATAATGCCTCTGTAGACTGAAGTCGCAGAGCTTGGAGTAATTGCTGGATGTCATAGCGTCGGCTATCATGACTAAACTTAGCCGAAAATTAAATTCGGACGAAAGGAAGTTTTTGGTATTAAAAAGAGAGCTGCAGATGGAGTCTGCAGCACTCGCAACAACAAGAACAATGATTTTATCAAGAAGCTTAGTTAACATGAGTCTCATAACGTGACAGCTTTACCCTCTGGTAGAGTAGGTAGGTGGTGGTGACGATGCTACAGGCAAGCCACAAGAAGCCAGCGCGAAATAGGACGAGACTCGGTAGTAATCAGAATAGAATTCAAAATAACCAACGACGTAAGAGTTAAGTGTGAAGTAACATGATGGTCTGTTGCATGATCAAGCGATGGAGCACTTTCCGACATGTCGCTGTAAGGCGTTGAGGAAGGTAAACAAATGTGCAAAGGCAGCAAAAATAGTGGATCAGCTTTGTAAAACAGATTTTTCAGAAATTAAAACTATCGCGGATAGCAGCAGTTTTATCAATTTATGCTTTGCTGGGCGCGAAGCATTGTTCTAGTCATACAACTTGTCAACGGAATATAGGGTGTACTATTGTTAGGACGTAACTGAGTATCCGTTCATATCTGGTGGCCAACCGCGGAAGATGAGGTCAAATTCATTTCAAACAATGTAGTATTCTGTTGTGATTGTGTCAAGATGATCGAACTGTGGGGACGAGATCATCCGTTCCCAAATGATGCCTTGTGGATGAATGTGATATGGCACGGTTGAGGGTGGATTCGGGGAATCGCGTAACTACCCGGCGGCTGCGGGAATGAGCCATAGCCAGTCGCATCCTCAGTTGCATCCTGGGAAACAAGCTTTCCCGTGGGGTGTGGCATGTGTGTCCCTAACCCGCGAATGAATGTATCACACGACGCCCTGTCTGCATGTCAGCCGTTGCCCATAGCAAACGGCCATTGGACGGGGAGGGTCTGTGGCTTACTCCCAGAACTGATTCTGGGAGTAAGCCA